GAACCCGGGTCCTCTCGCTTGCGAGGCGAGCGCTCTAACCATTAAGCTCCGCATCATAATAACTGTTCAACCTGTGGGACCCAGGAAGAAGAAAGAAGTTGAAGCAGGAGGGCAGGAAATAGCTCTTGAAGGAGCTGAGTTATTGAATCTGACGTGTGACACGTTAATTATCACGGCTGCTACACGGGATCACGGCAGTTCAAAGTCAAGCGAGGACAGAGAGCTGATCAAACGTGAGGGGAGGAGGAGAGGGAAGTGGGAGACGAGCTGAACTCTTTGAAGGAGACATAATTCATCTGACTGATAAAAATTGGCATTTAAAAACCTTTGCAAGTCAGTTTGAGAGATGCGGATATCAATCGGAGATTTTTTTCTGCTTTTTTTTTAAAAAAAATTATTATTTATCAGGCCTCCGCGAGTCAAAACTGCCTCCCGTGGGTGTTTATTAATACAAATCTGTAAGCGGTAATTTTAAATAAAATGATAAAAATAATCCTTGCATCTGATATACCTGCGTTGAGACGTCTGAAAGTGCTTCACAGGATATACTGTAAAGTGGAGTGACTGTGTATTTTGTGGGCGAAACGCGGCAGCCAACATTGGGAGAGAGAGAGAGAGAGAGAGAGAGCGTGAGAGAGAGCAAGAGAGCACAATAGGGAGAGGGCCAGAGAGCGCGAGAGCGAGATTAGGAGAGCGTGGGAGGGAGAGAGCAAGACTGGGAGAGCGCGGGAGAGAGAGCTTTGCACACAAAAAAAAGTTGCCACAGGGTGAATCTTGAGGATTGTCGGCCAGGACACCAGGAGAAACTCCCTTCTCTTCTCCAATAGCTTTGGGGAACTTTAAACACCCACCTGCACAAGACGGGACCTCGGTTTAACTCGGTCTCTTCCAAAGGACGGCGTCTTTGACAATGCAGGACCCCACACCCCCAGCCTTCCCCCCACACCCCCCCCAACTCACAAAGATTGAACTGTAACATCTGCCAAGACTGTGAGCTCAAAATCCAACATGTAGGTGTAGCAGATGGAGGAACAGAAGAGAAAGTCCCAGATGATGTTTCGTGCCTCATTGTGTGTGCAACATTGTCCATCCAGCATCAACCTGCTAAACAAAGTTTAGTTTCAGTCACTTGGAAGATTAGATCAAACAACAAGCTTCACTCTATCAATAAATACATCATTTTTGTGCTTTCACCTCGTCAATGTACACCAGAGGAACTGCCTATCTCTCTCCCCCCCCAAAGTAGCATCCTGCGTATCTCTGTGACAGAAAAGATCGCTCGTGTTCGGAACCCTGCATTAGGAAATTAGGTGCTCAAAAGGCTTTCTGGTGTCCCACAGACGGTTTCTGTGAGATTACTGGAATATTCCTCATCGTTTGCCAAGCTGACAAACTCTTAGAAGCTCAGCGTGTATTGAGGCAGACACCAGGGAGAGAGCCTGGTAATTACGGTGTCCAATGAATTGATTGGTTGAGTACAAAGATGAGATTTCACGAAGAGACAGGAGAAAAGCACATCAAAGCCACCCAACCTCATCCAACCCCTCGAGCAGGTCTAACAGACTAATTCCTCAGGAATGGGCTCTGTATCGAGCTGATTTGTAGTTTGGTTGTTAAAGGCTTCTCCACACTCACAGCTATTTTAATCCTGTATTCGAGCGGGAAAAGGTGTCTTAATCAACTCCTGTAACCCACCTGGGCAAGTGGGGGGACGTCTCGCCCCTAACTTCTCCCACCCCCCAGCCCACCCCCAGGACCCGGGTTCGATTCACGGCCACAGCAAAACCTTAGGCCAGTTTCCTTCCTCCACACACACGCCTCTGGTTACCAGCAGTAAGTAGGAACCCGGTTGTTAGTCGATTGGCAGATCGCTTTCCGGGGGTAATAATCCCTCTAAAAAAATTTGGTCACTCCATAAGACCATAAGACATAGGAGCAGGAGTAGGCCATTCGGCCCCCTGAGCCTGCCCGCCATTTAATAAGATCATGGATGATCTTCTAACCTAATTCCATTTACCTGCCCTATCCCATATCCCTTAATCCCTCTATCCTTTAGAAATCTATCAACCTCAGTCTTGAATATGTTCAAGGTCTGAGCATCGACAGCCTCTGGGGCAGAGAATTCCATCAACTACCCTCTGAGTGAGGAAATGTTTCCTCAACTCAGTTCGAAAAGGCTGACCCTTAATCTTGAGACGATGACCCTAGTTTTAGATTCTCCAGCCAGGGGAAACAATCTCATGGCATCTACCCTGTCAAGACCCTTAAGAATCTTATAGGTTTCTATAAAATCACCTCTAATTCTTCTATATTGTAGAGAATATAGGCCTAATTTACTCAACGTATCCTCATAGGCAGAACCCCCTCATCCCAGGAACCAACCTAGTGAACCTACGCTGCGCCCCCTCTAACGTGAGTATGTCCTTTCTTAAATAAGGAGAACAAAACTGCTCACAATATTAATCTACGACTCAATTCACGACTATTTGTGGGACACTGACTTGCGCAATTGCCTGTTGTGTTTCACCTACAAAATAAGTAGTCAACTCACTTTATGACATATTCTGTGAAGCGCTTTGAGATGTCGCAACGATGTGCTAAGGCGCTGTATCAAATGCAGTGTATCATATTATTATAAGATAATGAAATCAGACAATCTGCCATTGAGCCGTTCAATGCCATTCAGCCACTACGCCCCGAAACTTTGGAACATTCTTCCTCAATCCATCCTCCTTGCCACCTCTCTCCCCTTTTTCAAGTCCCACCTGATCCTCTTCGACCGTACTTACGGCCACCTCCCCTCCCCCCCAGCTCGGAGTCAGGCTCCGTCACTGTTCAGCCCTCTGAGATTCTGCCCTGTGCCTGTGCTATATAAATGCAAGTTGCTGCTGTTGTTGTTACTGAGCAGAAAAGCAGTTCAGAGACGTAGATAATTGTTAAAGGGATATAAACAAGTATTAGGTTGTGACTGTCTGGTTAGGGAGTGTAAAGCCCGTTTCACCAGCCCAGCCTTGACCTTGTGCAAGTCACAGCTTAAAATACAGTGCGAGAGCGTCAGTGACAATTGATGGTGATGGAGACAGTCAAATACAGAGCAGAGCATCCTCACATCGCCATTACCTGTCCATCATCCTCACACCTGGCAGCAGTGAGAGCAGGAAAGGCTTTACCGTGATGGACAAGTATTCAGTTGTTCAGGGGTGAACGAGAAGCTACCTCGACTGATATTCTCGACTCGGTTCAGCTGCTTCTATCACTGCTGAGTTCTAGTAAATGTGCCCCAGGCACATAGCCTGAAGCCCACTTTCTGCTCCGTGACTATCAGTCACTACACTCAACAGCAATTATTGTGCAGTTAAGATTTGAGATGTTTTCAGTGCGATAAAACGACGTCCTCCCGACGTAAAAGGCGCTATATCAAATGCAAGGATTATTATTATTATTATTATTAAACTAATGCAAAGATTAAAACAAAGATTAAATGAATGTATTCCAAGTTCACTCAGAGTATTAATTCCTGGGTCTAGACTTTTCTGATACGAATTTCATATCAATTCTTAAATTCAGTTACATTTGAAGCCGGTTTTTCTATATTTTTACCAGAATCTACAATTACTGAAGACGGCATTCAAAAGATGAAATTTAACTCTTACCTCCCCATCTGCCCCCACCTTTTTTTTGGGTGGAGAAAAGAGTGGTGGTATGGGGGGGATGGGGGTGGCGGGGGAGTAGGTTGTGGAATGGACAGGTGGAGGGAATAAATGAAGATTGACCAGAGCAGGATGTCCGTGTTTAGTGGTCAGTCTGAGCTTAACTGAATCGTCTGAGAACATTGGTAAAGGGAGCGGACTGGAAGCTCTTAAGCTGTGGGAGGGTGAGGGCTCTGGATTCTGGTGGTGGAGATGAACGCAGTTTGATTAGTGGTTTTTCAGGCATGACCGCTGTAAGTCTGAATCCATGTGGAGTTTGACAACACACTGAGGCAGTGAGCTGAGAGCTGAGGTATTGGAAGCCATGGTTGGGTGCTCTGTGAGACACCGCTCTGATCTGACCTCGGGACACATCACCTAGTTATCATCAGCGCAGTTGCTCATTGATCCCAGATTCCACCTGAATTTCACCTGCCTCAGACATTTCCTCCGAACATCTAAACATTAGCAACAGGCTGCCAAGTTCACCTACAAATACACAGTCGCTCTACTTCACGGTAATGCCCCGTGAAGCTCTTTGGGGCGTCCTCCCAATGGGAAAGGTCTTAGACCAAATGCAAGGATGATTATTGTTATTAATAATAAAATAGCCCATAATAATAAGCCTTGATACAGTGCTTTATCACGTCCTTGAGACATGGGCGAAATGCGGCAGCCAATTGCGCACAGCAACGTCCCATAAACAGTTGTGGATTGAGCGACCAAATGTTTTACATTTTTAAAAATAGTTTTAATATACATACACTTGTAGATACAGCCTGTATAAAGTACCTAATTACCCACATCATTCCTAATGTAAATACAGGAATTTATGACGTGGGCAGAGCGAATATCGGCTCTCTGATGTTCATATTTCAATACACAACATAAAAATCCTGCAGGGGAGGAAGAACAGCACGCAGAAAGCTTAACCATTTGTCACACTGAGCCAGCTGAAGTTTAGGAGCACAGAGTACTTACTGTTCTTTCCGTGGGAGGAACATAAATTGATATGAGGAACAATCCAGGAAGGAAAAGATTGGGAGCCTAATTTCTCAGCTGAATAAATAACATTTGAGACACAACAACTTGCATTTATACAGCACCCTCGGGAGTGAATTGACTGTAAATTGTGGGGGAAATGTTACCGTATAATATAGTGACCGGGTAATTTGCAAGCGAACGAGAAAAGCCGATTTACACAAAGTAGTGTTCCACAAACAATAGTGAAGTCAGTGACCGATTTCATCCGAGGGGATCGTCAGCCAGGACACCAGGAGAAACCTGACGTGGGTTTTGAATCAGCTCTTCTGCCTCGCAGGCGAGAGTGCTACCAGCTGAGCAAGGCTGATATTGACAAATCCGGTTAGAATTCCCATCGAGACACAGGAATGCGGGCTCGGAGATCGATGGGACCGCAGTAGGTAGGAGTGACTGACGTGCGGTTACAACTCGCCATGAATTGGTTGCTCTGAAATGCTGCGTTCACGGAGCAAACCTAGACCCAGGTGGAATTTCATCCCCAAAGGATGGTTTTTGTATCCGCCCATGAAAGCACCATTCTTTCCTGTAACAGACCCGTGCAAAGTGTTTGAGCTAATGCAGACTCTTTCGCTGGGGAGAGAGGGAGGGAGGAGAGACCGTGAGTCCATCTGCTCATCATTGTTCATTCAGCATGAAGTATATTTGAAAAAGCAAGAGGAAGATAATCTAACAGTGCACTGATGCGAAAGGGTGTGAAAGTCTGTCCTCTTAGAGAGAGAGCGAGAGAGAGAGAGCGTCTCCTGAAAGGACACAAGCCAATGGAACCTGGTCTTTACCCGACCCACACAGACGAAGGCCATTCAGCCCATTGCATCAGTGTCGGCTCTTTGATAGAGCAAACCATTCAGTCTTATTTATCTGCCTGTTCCCTCCCCCACCCTATCCTTGCAGTTCATTCCTTTTTACAGTATCGATCAAGTTTCCTATTGAAAACACCCACTTGCTGTAGGCTTCACCTGCCCATTGGGTCTAGATGTTCCCTGAAGCCCAAAGACCTCCTTTCCTCCTGCCACACCCCAACTCCTCGTTATGAGGGTTTCGTCCACAAAATACACAGTCAATTCACTTTACAGTGTATCCGGTGAAGTGCTTTGAGATGTCTCAACGGGGTGATAAGGTGCTAAATCAATGGAAATATTATTATTATTATTATTATTATCATCATCAACCAAGGCTTCCTTCCCTCCCTCCCTCCCTCCCTCTCTCTCTCTCTCCTTCCCTCCCTCTCTCTCTTCCCCCTTGCTCTACTCTGTATTGAAGGTCTACAGAAAAATAGCCAAGTCTGTTCCTGAGAAGATAGCTGTGACCTTTTCAAACCGGGCAAACAGCAGTGAAGAGGTTCGAATGGACCTGTAAATTCTAGAGATTAGAAATCTATCAATCAGTTGACCTTTTAGCAATTGAGCATTTTTTTCCCAGGGCTCCGATGGGTCAATATCTATCCAGAGAGAAGCAAAGATTTTTAAACTGTAAATAGTTCAGCTTTGTCAATAGCTGTTGTTTATTTTCCACTCAGCTATCTGTCTGCCACACTCAGAAACCCATCGCTGCGCTTAAGACTCTCCAAACCACATATGCGTGGCTTGAGGACCCCAGAGTGTGCGTTGGGTGGGGGGAGGTGGGCAAAGGGGTAACTGCCAAACTGGGGGCAGGGCAGGTCAGGGAGGGGGACATGGAGCAGGCCAGACCCTAGTGATGGTGAGTGGAGGGGCGGGAAAGGAGTTGAAAGGTACTATTGGAGGCTACATGAATGCACAGTCAGATCTGGAGAGATCAGTGGTATTATTTCTGCTCTGTGAAGCACTGAGGTGTTTTTTAAGCAATGGGTAAGAGGTGACACTCCATCAAATCAGTCTCCACAGCGAGTCTCTCAGGAGATGAAGTACAGAGATCGCTGCTCGCGCTAAAGCCCACACCGGGCACCAGGTGTTCTGTTTTGGGGATAAAGACTTAATTTGCTCATGCATTTTCCCGAAGACAAAATAAAAAGTGCTGAGGGAACCAGAAGCCAAGCATTAAATAGGCAGAAATGTACTCCGACTGCAGCCCGATAATAGGGTCATAAAGAAGCCAAGATTAGAAAGTTTGGAGGATGAAGGCAAAGATAATCTTCCTTGAGTTATAAACACAGGGTGGCAGAGAGCAGAGCATTTCCCTACACAGCTCCCATAGTGTGTAGTGGTTAGAGTGCTCGCCTCGCAAGCGAGAGGACGACCGGGGTTCCATTCCCTTCGGCAAGTTTCCTTAAACCACACACCTCTGTTTACGCAGCAGTAAGTAGGAACCCGGTTGTCAATCGATTTACGTGGGTAATCGCTTTCCGGGGTTAATAATACCTCTAGAAAATAAAAATGTGGTCATTCAGTCCATGACTGTTTGTGGGGCACTGCTGTGCACAATTGGCTGCCGTGCTTTGCCCACAACATATACAGGCACTCCATTTGATTCTATGAAGCACTGTGAGACATCGCAACGACAAGATAAGGCGCTATATCGAATGCAAGGATTATTATTTTATATTATAACACAGCTCACTGCGATGGCATCACCCCTTTAACCTCATCAGAAACAACAGCGCTGGAAAGGTTGTGGTAGATTTGCTGACGAGGTACATGATGGCGTTGCTAGTGGTAACCACTTGGTCTATGATGGTTCTCCAGTCATTGTGTCTGTAAGTGTTCAGTGTTGGTTTGGAGTAGACCCTTCCATCGAAACAAACAGTTTTTATTTAATCAGGTAAATGCAGAGCAACTATTTCCACCGGCAAACGAGTCACGTAAATTTGACTCTGTTACAAACAAAGGGAAGAGGTTGTCCTTGGGGAGCGAGGGAGTCGAAAGGCTGTTGCTCAACTTTTGCTGAATCTTCACAATCAGCCGACGGCAGCAGATAATGCTGTTGCCAGAGCACTGTGCGATATTACAAGAATGGTATAATAATAATCATTAATAATAATAGCCTGTGTTTACATAGAGACGCCTGCGACAATAACCTACGTAGCACCCCTCACGCAGGGTGGCGTCCCAGAGTGCCCTCTCGCTTGCTCGCTCGCTCGCGAGGCGAGTGCTCTAACCGCTACGCTACGGTGTTGGGAAGGCAGTAACTATGGGGTTGAAAACAACCTTACGCGCTTCACGCGGCGGCTCGAGTCGTGTCGAGGGGCGGTGGACGGGTCAGATGCTTATCCCTGAGCCCAGGACGTGATGCATTGTTTTAATCGGATTCACCCGAGACCTCGGAGACGTTGGCTACGGTCAAAAGGGCATTGCGTGTCCCCTTTCGCACGCCCCTCGCTCGCTAGCTCGCTCGCTCGTTCTCCTCTGCCCGAGCCCACTGTCCGCCCAGCAGCACAATTACGGACGTCTCAGCCTGCTGATGTATTCGTGCGTGTCACTGGAGCACAATAATAACCTGAGCTAATGTGCTCAAGCGGCAACGCTTCATTTAAGTGCAAATTCATGTCAGCGCCGCCAGCTTCATTAACGCCAACGGGAGGTCAATGCATTTTCAAACAAAGAGCTGGAGCACCGGCAGCAGCACAAGGCATCACAACTGAGGCAGAATGGGCCTCAGCCGCGGATGTAATTAACGGCAGATTCCACGAGGCTCGGTCTCATGCTCTCTCACCGCATGTTACGTCTCTGAGACAATTCAGTACCTGCTGCGAAACCACCACCACCCCCCACCCCCCCACTCCACCGCCCGCCCGCCTCACCCACCCTCCCACCCTCCCCACCACCCCGCACCTCAGCCCCTCGCGTCTGACGTATATCTCTTTGGGATGTTAACCCGAGCTCCCGTCTGTGCCTGTTCAGGGGTTGTAGACGTGAAAGAACCCTGTTGGGGAAGAGAAGAGAGTTCCTCTCTCTCTTCCGGTGTCCTGGCCCCGATACGAGCCCTCGCCCCCTTCCCCCCCCACCCCACGTAAAATTGACCCTTCACTTCATGGCTCTTTGTGGGACCTTGCCCAGTGTGTGCGCAAATGCACAGTCACCGCACTCGACAGCAATCAGCCGTGAAGCGCTTCGTAACGTTTCGATGTTACGAGCGCTGTATCAAATACCAGAATGGTTATCATGACGTATTGTCATTGTTCCAAAGGAAAGGTAATGACTATAGCAGCTCCCGAGTCATGCACCAAATACTGCCAATCACACAGTCACTGCGCAGCGAATCCTGTGAAGTGCTTTGAGACGTCCTCCCTGAAGTGCAAGGCCTGTATATCAAATGACAGGATTATTATTATGTTTGCTGTACTGTACTGTGCAGTGGGGGGGGGGTTAGCTTCAGGCTGTGCGCGCGACACCCAGTGACAGACGGCGAGTACCACAGTAACTGTGTTGAGAAGGCTGATTGGGTGGAGGTTTGAGACACAACGTTTGAATGATTAAGGTCCTTGACTTTGGTGATTTGTCAAAAGACCCCGGTGTGATGTGGAGGTCAAACGGCAGCTTCTTGGCCCCTTGAAGGTTCCTTAAGATTTCTTTGACTAACACAAGGATCATTTTAGAAGTCAATTTGCTCCATTACTCCCAGGAAGAGATGTCCCATCACACTCTGGGATAGGGTGACCTGGGCCTCTGTAGCAGAGCTGTCTCCAGCAGCTCCCAGATCAATTTAAGGTACGTATTTGCCAAAAAAAACAAGATACGTGACCTACTCGGTTCCTATGGCAACCTTTGCTAATAGCAACAGGCCTGGAAATATCCCAGACAATAAGCAGGTCTCGTTCCACAGCGGCTCTGGATGGAGGAGGATCTAACACCCTCTTCAGCCTTCGTTTCCTCTAACAAATCCACTTCATCAAATTGCATGCGGAGTTGCTCCTTTCATGTCAGGAGGGCGTCTCAAAGCGCTTCCCAGGATTCACTGTAAAGTGTAGTGACTGTGCATTTCAGAGTTGAACGCAGCAGCCAATTTGCGCAGATCAATATCTTGCAAACGGCCAAGAGGTGAATAACCAAGTATCGGCCAGGACACCGGGAGAGAGAAACTCCTTTCTCTTTTGCAATAGTGTCAAGGGATCTTTAAAGTCTCTTCCCCCCGTATCAGGGTCAGTCAGAAGGTTGTGGATAAAGCCCCTTGTCAGAACTTTATATAATCCAGGCTGTCGCTGCAGTCCAGTGCACTGCTCTAGACCCAATCTGCGGCATTAAGGTCATCTTTAACCCTATCCAATGCTTTATGCTGTCCTTCGGATGAAGGATAGTGGATGAGTAGGGGGGATGGGATAGTGGGTGGGGGTAGGGGATCGAGAGGATTGGGGAGAATGGGGAGAGGGGAGAATGGGGAGAGGGAGAATGGGGAGTGGGCTAGGACTAGTTGACGGTTTCCCAAGTGGTAATTCTGTAAATTTCTGGCGAATCAGACGGTGAGCGGG